GAGGGCATAGTGAATCCATCAGGGTTGCTACTGTTACACCGAATGGAGCTGCAATCGTTTCAGGGTCAGAAGACCGCACCTATAAGATATGGAATTTAAGCTCGCTACAAGATGTTCCGGCTTTTATTGGTCATAAACAAGGAATAAATAGCTTGGATGTGTCACGGGATGGACGTCTCTGCGTCACAGCATCAGAAGACTCATTRCTAAAGGTGTGGAATTGTGAAGAGTTCAAAGAGGTTTGTGCTCTATCTGGTCACGAAGGAGGCGTCCTCGCTGTCACACTACACCCTAATTACCCTTTTGCAGTATCCGGAGGGAATGACTGCACCATTAGAATATGGAGTGTTGAAGGTTTCCATGAAACAARTTGCCTCAGAGGTCACCAACATCCAGTCCAAGTGGTATCTTTTAATGAAGATGGGAGTGCTTTTGTAACAGGAGGTAGAGATAACACGATTGGCGTGTGGGATTGGGCCAGTAAGAGTATCCATGCCTGGCTGAAGGCTCCTATATTTGATATTACCCACATAACTATGAACACTCACTGCCTCCTGGTGGGTAACAATCGACACTCTGTTTGGAAATATGCAGTTGACAAAGAAAAGGCCGCAAAGATCATGAAGCTTGGAGATATCGATTTSCTGAAAATGGTGAAAGAAAGAAAGCGATGCGAGGAAGAAAATGGCTCTTTTGTTGGAGACCCCTTACAAGGAACAAAAAGAGAAATTCCAAATGGATGTGTTCCATCCTTTTGTTCATTGTTCACGTCTTCGGTGTCCATTGGACCCGACAGYAGAAGTCATCCTACCCTGTTGATTAGAGATGGAACGCGGCTCTTGTTTGGTAGTGTCATGAGCACTATGCCATTGCGTTTCTTAGATGTTGAAACAGGAATGGATAGTGGTCTCCAGATTGAYAAAAATGGGAAAACGCTCGTTACCGCTCTTGCTACGCACAGTGACGAAAAGGAGGTGCTTGTTGGTACAGATCAAGGGAACATCATAAGAATTGAACTAGAATCGAATGAGATTTTACAAACGTATGAACAAAAGCAAGTTCCTGGATTCTCCAAGAACGCATCTGTTACGGGGCTTGCCACATCAGAAGATGGAAAATTCTTCCTCTCAGGRAACTCTGACGGAGAACTGTTGCTTTGGGATGTTGAAAAAGTTGAAGGAAAACTTCTCAAATCCTGCCTGCTGAGAATCAGTGGCGTTTGTTTTTTAAAGGAGGACAGTTTTGCTGCTGCTGACGAGAACGGGTATCTTCACGTTGTATCGAAAGATGGCCCAAATCTCTCCATTCTTGCTCACGACACCGCTGTAACAACTATTACATCGCGTGGCATTCCCTCAGAAAACAGCACTCGATATCTCGCTACAGCCGCATTGGGAACTTTGAAAATTTGGAGTGTGAGTCAGCATGGTTGTGCACTACATTGCGATCGTCAAATTAGTTGTTCTGGTCTTAACATAAGAACAGTTCACTTTCTCCCAAACTGTRCATCGCTCCTTACTGGCTCCGATGATAACGTTGTTAGGCTGTGGGACGTGAAAAATAMAAATATTTTGAAGACATTTGAGGCCCAGAGCTTTGGCATTAACTATGTGTCTAGCATCAAAGACAGGGTGATCGCTTGTTTTGATGATAGTTCTGCAATAACCTGGTCKCTGGAGACTGGAAACTTGTTAGGTCGAAGTCAAGGGCATCATGGGCGATACCACGTGATCAGGACACTTCCGCTGAGTAACCAAGCCATCACAGATGGTTTTCACTATACGCTGAAACGCTGGAGTACTGAACAAGGCACGTGTTGGTACGAACTGCCGGAACCGTTGGCGGAATATCAGCATTCGAATGAAGTTACTGCTCTAGCAGTTACGTGTGATAGGAGTCTTTTGGTCACGGGGACTCGAGACAAGATGCTCAAGYTATGGATGGTAGACAGCGGRSAATGYTTGAGTGAGTTCTACTTGGAGCATAGTGCACAGGTGATCGCTTGCAGTGCTGAAGGACGCATCTTTGTTGGACTAAGTGACGGGCAGCTTTGCTTCATGAAATTACGAAGTGGAAAATAATGCTGCTTCGGAAATCAAAACTTACCAACTAAGAAGCAGATTATAAAAATAACCTTACGAAATATCAATAATTACCCTATAGCTTTAACCATTAGATAAGAATTACTTAATATTTATTTTTTGAAATTTATTCTGTTTYATTTTGCGACTGATTGGCAAATTATACAAATTGCTCTATTTAATTCGTGAATGGTTAAAAAAAGTTTCATTTATAAATCCCAACTATTAGTAATCTGAATATAGAAAATTTATAAAGTGACTGTGTAAGTTATGCAAAGAGTGCAGATAAAGATGCTTAAACAAAAATCTGTTCAGTGCACAGTGTTCACTAGTATTATCCGGCCACGAGAAATGACCAAAAACTGATCTAAAGCCATCATCAATACTTTCAAGTTATTCAATTATATATGGTTTTGATGTGGAGAAAAAAAGCTACCTTACCTCTGCTGCACAAMTTTTAATACTTGGTCAAATATACTGATCTAATAAGAAAAAACGGTTCCATAAATTTATCTGCAGCCGAAAAATTRAATCTTATTTATTGCCGTTCAACAATTTCTACTCAGTATATTCTATAAGTTTTTTCTCTGGCGTCATAAGTAAATTATTATCACTGTAAGGAGTCGGTTTTGTGACCCCAGAACGACCCCAGGTCGACCCCAGACTGAGCGACCCCAGGTTGACCCCTCGAAAAGAATCATTTTGAAAAATTGCTCCACGTTGGGTCGTTCTGCGGTCACAATATAGACCCTTCGACTGTGAGCATCTGCTCTTGGGATAAATATGAGCATAAATCGTATCCGATAAAATAATTGCAATAAAGGACTGAGGTGCAGTGCTAGTAAATCCAACCATTAAGAAATTAATTAATTAATCAATATTTCAGTCTTACTGGAGAATACTGAGGTGCAGTGCAGTGCACCAGATGTGAATATRAATAAACCCGTACTTATTGGAAGAAAGCAGACATTTTTGTGATGTACCAAACAGGTAGAACATTAGACATGCTCGCCTCTTCACGGGAGGAGCCAATGAATGACTCGTCTTTCTTCCATTCTAGTACATACTGCACCGCACGACCTCCATCCATTCCATAGCTATCCTCAACCACTACTTCCTTCAACCACTGCAAGAAGTCATCTACGAATCCTACACTCGCCAGTGGATTCCAACTTGTGAGGGCTGATTGAATCGCGGGTGGACATGACATTCTAG